CAGTTAACTCTCTTGCCTCGGGAAGATGCATTCAGAACACAAGCTGCTCACAGTCTTACAGTGTCAATTGTCCATCAAGGTGGAAAAAAAGGTGAATACATCAGTTACTACATTATTTTTCTTGAAGATTTCAAAGTGGGTTTATTGGATATTTTTCTTGTCATTTGTCTGTGAAGGCATTGTGTCAAGGACAATGTTTTATATATCAAATTTATGTTTAGATTTTTCCATCATTGGAGACGGACTTCCACACAAGGATGATTGAAGATGAGATTCAGCACTATGATTCCAAGAAGTACCTGGAGGCAAAAGTGTGGCTGGATCAGTATTCCAAAAGGTTGGATTCCCATTTTTGACAGATCTAGGTTATGCAACAACTTTATTCAAACACTAACTGCATATTCATGCAAAATTAGGATTTTTGACTGGGGATTACTCTTGCACCAGTACAAACTGTCCTGCACTGGAAATGCTCATGATTAAACATTTCCATCATTAAAGGAAATATAGAGTAGCCCAGTTAAAACAATGCAGTAGAGACGATATGCATTCATGTAATTTTAAACCTATCCTATCTTGCACTATATATGCATTTCTCATTCTTCTTTTGATCCTCAGTGGAAACATGCCTAAACAAAGGTTTCCAGCTTCTTAAAAACAATTCACCCGAATATTTAGCAATATTATGTGTCCAGTCGCTATATGGCTCAGATACTGCTGATACAATGTTAACTTTTAACTCACTGTTATCATGGTTATGCATCACTAATTTACGTTTCACAACACAGTGCTTCAGCTTCCCTACCTTATACTAACAGACAGTATTGGAACAAAGAGACAGTCGAAATAGACTATAGCCCGTCCCCCAGCATCCACAAGTTATCCCCCTTGGCCCCTACTCTCTCATATTTTTCTCCGTCTGCCATGCCAACAGATGTGTTATTTGAACTTATCTTGTATTGTCATCAATCTTTCACTTTTTCAGGTGGTGCCACTTCCATATTTCCTTTCCCTGCTTGATATATCCACTTGTTTGTGGTTTATATTTGTATCTTAAGATTCTGTTCATTGCAATGTAACTTTGCACATTTCGCGCCTTGGTCGCCCTTGTGTACTTTTTCGAGCCCCTCGTTTTCACAAAGTTTCTGCGTTAATGTAGTTTTTGCAGTAGTTTTCTTACCTATTGGTTAATCTCTCATTTATTTTAATGATAATGGCTTTCGGTTGACATATTTCCTGTCACTTACACGTAATATGTTTTTGGTTTGCTACCACCTGTTTCTCCAGTTTCGTGTTTTACTTAATATGTATTACTGGCTTTACTCCGATCTGCTGTTGACATTTTTTGCAGAATGTATTCTATGCGTTGTACTTTCTGTAAACGTCCCAAAGTCGGCAGAAGGCCCACATCACATTTTTTCACTTACTTACAGCCGACCTGCATGTTCTTTGACCACATGACAATCAATGCTTTGTTTGCTTTCTTATGTCAATTGAAGGATTTGCATCTCACAGAAAGGCTCTTATTCAGCACTCAAAACAACTTGCGTAACAGTAGAAGATGCCAGGTCCTTCTCCGTTCCCGGCCTCTCCCCTACTGTAGGAGCCGGCCCTATTGCCTCCTGCTATGATTTTGGAGACCTCCTCTACGTTGATGGCGGTTCCTTCGGGTTTTCCCCCCCAAATCTACACCATCTGCACTGCTAGTTCCTACTTCGATCTGTGCCTTTTGGGAACAACGGCTTCAGCATCGACCTGACAACCTGATTTTGCCACCTGCTATTTGGATGTCGCCAGTACCTGACAGTCACCAGATGGTGGCTTCTTCCCACCAGTCTGCAGGTTCCTGTCGCCGTTCCCATACACCTGACGACATCCCTGATGCAAGCGCCGACACCAGCTGTCACCGGACTGTCGCCATCCAGTCGCCAGGCCGTATCTTCACCTTGTACATATGATCACTGAGATGGTTTGCCTACTCAGCGCACTTGGCCTCAGTTATGTGGTGTTGTCCTGCCAGTCATCGTCACACGGTTGTCTCTACCCCACACCCGCACTCCGTTCTCCCCAGGCGGAACACAAGGTTTTATATTCTGGGTATGTTCTCCTCCCCCTGGTCCAGTAAGTCGTTGATTGTCTGATTGTCCATCCCCAAAGGACTGGATGCACCACCCAAAGACCTTCAGGCTCTTGTACAACCGCCTCCCGACGTCGGTCTCTTCGCCACGGTGAGCAACCACCAATTGCCTGTGTACGTGTCTCCAGTCCCAGACCCAGCTTGACGGCCTTGCACTGTCCTGTCAGCCTGCCGTAAATGGTGACTATGCTTGTCATTAGAGGTGACTAACGGGATCAGGTGGTCAGGCTCGCTGACTTGGTTTGAAGCATGTCATCGATCCCAATTGCGCGGATCCATGCTCATGATATCAATCACTGGATTGTCTGGTCTAGACTTGATTATTTACAGACCGCCGTCATATAGCTGGAATATTGCAGAGTGCGGCGTAAAACAACAAACCAACCAACCTAAATTCCATCCTACTGCTTGGGTTCTCAATGTTGTTTTACCTCACTTACGCCAGGCTCGTATGAACCACTTGGATCTGCCTCTTTGAAAATCTCACCGTAAAGACTTGCTTTCTCCTGGTGCTTGCCACGGTGGACTATGAGCTTCATGCCCTGGATGTCACTTGTGTCAGGTTCGATCAGCTTCGACTTCAGGGTCAACCTGATCGACAGTTTCATATCCCTCATCTTTTAGAGATTGTTGGTCCAGATGATGGGTATCTCGCCATCTATCCTGTTTGGGCTCTCCATCAATATATTCAGGTGTCCCAGAAGAGGCGAAGGCAGCACCAGATGCTGTTCATTCCTGTTTCCAGCAGTCTCTCCGTGGGGGTCTCCCTTTGGCTTTGTTCGGTTATCCACCTCATCTGCCTTTGCCAGTCATCATCTGTATTACATTTCAGTGGAAGACGGGACTCATATAGCTTCGGTCCACTTGTCCTGGCCCAGCAGCTGACCAACCCCAGACGCCATTGACCGTACCCTATCTGGGGACGAGGTTGCCTGCAGCCCCACTGGCCCCTGCTAATGAGGTAGGACCACACCTTGTGCAGTACCTCTGTAACTCCTAGGTTACTGGGTACTGTTCCATCTGTACCTGGTAAAGTTTTGGTCCCATTTTCCCCATCTCTCAAACCGGATGTGGAATGGTATTTTACTTTTACCCATTGTCAAGCGATGTTCTCTCCCTTAAGACCACCATCCTTTTCCAAGAGGGCTTGATCTGCGTCCTATCTCCTAGCCTGCCGTGCCTTGAAGCCGCTTCCTTGCTGTCGCCTGAAGGGTTCCTTGCCTGACGTTTTATTTTGCTTTGTTAGTTTGACTCCTTCTCACAGTAAGCCTGCCTTCCATGTCAGCCGAATAAGGCACAGTGTAGTGTCAGGTAAGGTAAACCATGAGCATTTCTGATAAAATGCAATGTGTTTATATTTACCTGACGCAACACCTGTAGGCCCATCCAGACTCCGCCTTACCGTTTTAGCACCACTTTCTACGCTGCACCTGCTGTCATACAGCGAAGAATATAAGGGAGTAGGGGCCAAGGGGGATAACTCATGGCTGCCGGGGCACTGTCTGTTTCAACTGTCTCTTCATTCCAGTACCGTCTGTTTGTATAAGGTAGGGAAGCAACAGCACTGTGATGGGTCAGGTAAGTATAAAAGCATTGCATTTAATCAGAAATGCTCATTTTTGTAATGTTAAAACAAATGTCAGTTTTGAAGTGGAGAAGTTTTGTATTTTTGTATTTTTGTAAAGTTGTGTATTTAGAATTGTATATATATTTAAGGTGTTTACCTGTGATGTGGACAATGACATTTATGAAACAATACATGCAGTTATCATGGTTATATTTTAAAATTTTGGTCATGTTATATTTTCATTCCATGTCTGATGTTAACCTACTTTCAGTGATGAGTATATCTCATTTTGGTTGTTTTGTTGAATTCCACCCAGGGCTCATATATTTGGTTCGTCCCTTGGAATGATTATGACATTTTAATTTTTAAGAGTCCCAATTCACTTTAAGGGTCATACACTAAAAAGTTGTAAAACGATTTTCCATGGTCACTGAATTTCTCACTATGAAAGTATTTTGAAGGGTACGCTGCTATGTAAGATGTGGATTCAGCAAAAGATCATTAAGGATCTGTGTCATGTGGTTCAAGGATTTGTAACTGTCTGATTTATTATTTATTTTTTGTTTATAATTAGTTATTTATCACAATTATTTTGTAGGACTAGTATACAAAGTATGTGGCCAATTTAGTGTTCCATTGTCCATTTCGAGTGACTTCAACTATTCTCTTAAAAATAATACCTAGAAGATAAATATCTCTCTCTGCTGAATTCAAATTGAAGATTGGCCTTAGTTACTGCTAGATATTACTGCATTAAACATTGATTCTGCCATTTATTTTTTCAGGAAACAATTTCTGACAGTTTTTTGTGTGTAAAGATTGTGCCAGAAATTTCTGCAGTAATACACTTTCTGAGCCAATCTTTAAGCTTATGAACATGGGACATACATTATTTGGATTTATCTTGTTGAAATCTTTCCAGTGATATAAACAATGTTCATGTAGCTCCCTTCCTTCTGTGTGGTCAAGGTTGAACTTCAGGCCATTCCTATGTTGTCCTTCCCTGCCTTCTAGGCTTGGGAAAGTTAGGGATTTAGCTCAAAGGCTAATATTTGGCCTCAAGTCTGCAGTAAATGTTGGTAAAAATTCCCAAATTGTAATAAAAAATACCTGGTGTAATTTTATTTCATTGATTACAGTCTTAAAATACCATGTTATAATGCCTCTGAATTTAGAAGAATTTAGACTCTTAAAAATTTCATGTGTGAACACAAAAACAAATTATTTCCAATTTGCCTGCCAGGATATCCCTGGTAAATGTGTACAAGAAACATACCATTGTAATGATATACTTACCGTCCGTGAACAGTAGATAATCTCCTGTACATGATATCGTGTCTTCCATCGCAAGAAACAAAACTTCAACTTTAATATTAGATCCGACCAGTGCAAAAATTGTCCATGTGCAGTCTAAGAAGCTGCAACAATCAAACACAGTTTCATCAAAACATACAACATGATACCCATATCCATAACATGACACTTCTCTATAAATCTGTAGACTGTAGTTGTGCCAGAGATTAATTAATTCTTCAATACTTCTCAAAGTAGCATACAAACCATATGACTCATTTAACTACTTATGTGTCAGCGGCTGTTTTCTCATCTTTGGGTATTTCGTTTTTATGATAGCCTCAATGATGGAAGATAAATATCACGATACATTTCACATTTTACAAAAAAACATCGTGAAATACATTTATACATTATTGGAAAAGTAATTGGGTCTTTCTTAAGTAGAGACATGAAATTTTATTTTATTTCATAGGTCTTCAGCAACCCATGCTTGCGGTAATAGGTGACTGTTTGTTGTAAGAGGCGACTAACGGGATCGGGTGTCATCCTATCCCAATTGTGTGGATCAATGCTCATGATGTCAATCACTGGACTGCCTAGTCCAGACTCGATTATTTACAGACTGCTGCCATATAGCTGGAATATTGCTGAGTGCAGCGTTAAACAAACAAACACAAATTGAAAATCATGCTAGATAGATATGTTCAAACATGTATGATGTTACTCACTTTTCATAATTAGAAGGATACCCAGGAGATTTGAGATATTTCTGCTCATAAGATGCTCTCAGATATTCCATTCCACAAACACTTGTGTTGTGTGCTGTTTCTACATTGGAAAGTAAATCACAGAATTCCTTGAATAACATATATATATATGTGTGTGTGTGTGTGTGTGTTTGTGTGTGTGTGTGTGTGTGTGTGTGTGACAACGACAGTACCTGGTCATGTAAATCCACTCATTTACTTCAAAGTGTTCTGTTGACAAATCCAGTTTCTGATTATATGACATATGTACATCAGTGTAAACAACATATGATATCACAGCCATGTTGGAATGAATATAGTTTTATCAACATCATGTCAATATTGAATATGCATGATTATAGTTTACAGAACATTTTTGGTGTTTGAACCACACAAAGAACATCATTGGTTTTAATGATTTAGAAAGATTTTGACAAATAACACAAGTAATACAAACAAGTGCAACCAATCTTATTTCTTTTTAATTTTTAATTACAAAAAAGTGTGGGACATGTGGTATTGACAATTTCTTCGTGTCGTCTTGGTTCATTCAAAATATGGAACGTGTGTGGCGACGGAAAACGGATTACTTGATTGACGTTTGGGACACTCAATTGGAGGCTACACCAACAATATTTGTGCCAGAATGATACTATTTGCGTCTTAAAATTCATCTGACCATTTGTGACGACTCGTCAAGTCGGACAGGGAAAGAGACAATAATATGGTCTCTGGACATACGTACCGATTCAAATTAAACTAGGAGCTGATGAAATAACATGTATACAAACTCACACAAATATGTATACAGCAATTCCCATCATTTAAAATTTCCTTTAAAAATTATAATTGGTTACGATATTGAACCCCAAATCATACATAATCATTGTCCGTTTTTGCTGTGGTCCTGGCACCTGTTTACTTGGTTTTGATGTTCAGCTAAGCACCTCAACATATCAAACTGCTTTTGACAACACGCATCCGTACCTGTGAGAAGTGGGCCAAGCAGCACAAGATATAGTCCGATAAAATGTTCGTTCATGTTTGTGTTCTCTTTCCTCGCTTATCGATCGGTGTCGTTCATATCACCACAGCGCTACAGCGAGATCTGGCCTCAATGTATTATGTAGGCCAATGGCGTCGACACGAAATACATGACAAAAGTCTGTTGTCACAGTCAGGTAGTTCGTGCAACCGCTGATATCGCGAGTTCTGGGTCAATACTGGTCAGCTTGACATTATGATAGTTGATAGCCGTACATTGGTTTGACAGAACATGTTGTTGTTGTTGTTGTTGTTGCATTAGGTGCTTAATGGCTGGCCTGTCCCTCTTTGGGACTCCTGTGTGTGAGAAGGGTTCACATATCTATTGTGAGTTCGGTGTTCACATAATTTGTTTTTGCATTGATATGATTTCTATTTTCTTAAGAACTGACAGAACATGATAAAGCCGATGGTTTTATATGAAGGGAGCAGCTTGTTCATATTCTGATTTCATTCTCATCAGCAACTTGTGTAAAAACGTAGTAGATGTTAAAATAGTGCAGAAGAGAAGCGACATTATTGATACAAGACGGCAGTCGTGCTTCTGTTGAGTGCGTGTTGTCCTAATGAATAAATGAATTGTAATACCAAACATACTGCTCCAATCGGAAATATGATGGAAAATTGATGTTACTCACGGCTTGTTACTGCACATAACTAATTATAATTTCAGTCTGTCACTACCTGCCCCACCCTTTTTTATAATTTTATTTTTAGGTTTCCATGGAAACAATTTCGACGTAATATCAAACAACTCTAGGCTTTATTTTTCCGAGCCATAACTCACAAACTAATGAATATCTTTGCATGTAACTATTCATGTGCAATGAGCATAGGCTCAACTATATTGCCTGTCTTCAGCAACCCATGCTTGCCGTAAATGGCGACTATGCTTGTCGTAAGAGGCAACTAACGGGATCGGGTGGTCAGGCTCGCTGACTTGGTTGATGCATGTCATCGATCCAAATTGCGTGGATCGATGCTCATGATGTCAATCGCTGGATTTTCTGGCCCAGACCCGATTATTTACAGACCGCCGTCATATGGCTGGAATATTGCAGCTGAGTGCGGCGTTAAACAACAAACCAACCAACCAACAATTTATGCCACTGCTAAACCAACTCGTAATGGACACTGGAAAATTCCGGTGTACGATAGCCTGATTTCGCAATGCGTTCAGCAGACAAACACGTACGCATGCATTAAAGAAAACCGATCGATGGACTGCTGTTGACCTCGTTAATCTATAGTAGATATGTACCGGGTCACGCCGTATGGAAATAATAGGGTGTGGGTTAGTTTGTGTTTGCCATGCTTAACCGAGTACTTTCATAATCTAATTATCTTAAATGAGATTATACAGATGAGTGTGCGTGTGCGCGCGCGTGTGTGCGTGTGTGCTTGTGTGTGTCAGGTAACATAACGTTTTTACTTGTAGTGATGATTGGGTTTGGTTTAAAGCTGCTATGAACATTTATACAGTTATACATTTGTACCATATCGTTAATAAAGAAACGCAGAATAGCATATCAATGAATTCAAGATTATATTCACATAATAACAGATAACTTAAAACTGGATGTGATATACATGTACATGTATCGTTTATCAGTGTGCGTCTATCAGTATACGTCTACAGCAGCAGAAAAAAATTGAACTTAAAGAGACAAATGAGTTTACTTTTTAATAAATGTACAGTATCAAAAATTTTCATTATATACAGATGTAGATGTGCTAGAGATTTGGAAAATGCGGGTTCAATTACAAAGGATTACAATTTTATGGGACCCGTGAAGATTCCGGGGTAAAATAGGTCTTCAGCAACCCATGCTTGCCGTAAAAGGCGACTATGCTTGTCGTAAAAGGCGAATAACGGGATCGGGTGGTCAGGCTCGCTGACTTGGTTGATGCTTGTTATCGATCCCAATTGCGTGGATCGATGCTCATGATATTAATCACTGGATTGTCTGGTCCAAACTCGATTATTTACAGACCGCGGTCATATAGCTGGAATGTTGCTGAGTGCGGCGTTATACAAAAAAACCAAAACAACCAACAATTTTATGGGTTTTCTGTTTAAGCCTTCCCGCTTGTCGACTCTTCAAGTATGTATGAGTTAGTGAAAGAGTTTGATTTTACGCCGCTTTTAGCAATATCCCAGCAATATCACGGCGGGGGACACCAGAAATGGGCGTCACACATTGTACCCATGTCGGGAATCGAACCCGGGTTTTCGGCGTGACGAGCGAACTCTTTAACCACTGGGCTACACGACCGCTCCTCAAGTGTGTATGAAATGAAGGACGAAATATAAGATTCGACTAAATGGAATCAGGTGGAAGAAAAGCCCAAAGTGACGAAGGTCGTGGACGTCTTACCACTGTGGTGAAACCCATGAAGACGGACATGGAAATGGTTTGACATGCATGCTGTCAGGCTAATGTTTATAACTGGAGCGAATCTCAGATTCGACGATCATCGGATCCTGACACGGCTAAGGGACAAAAATCTCTGTATAAAACTGGGTGATACTGTATTTGATACATGGTGGCACATTCTTACCCACACAGTTTGTTAGTATGGTGTAAATGGATGCATATGGTACATCTGTAAATAACATATGTCCATGCTGTCATTGACATTGTATTTACAATGGTGGTAGCCAGGAGCGAACTTCCATTGTTGGTTGAACTGTATTCCTCGTCGAAAAACAAACACCTCATTTCATTCTTTCAAACGCGCTCTCCTTGGATGCACCACATCACCTTTACCCTACAATATGCAGGTGTGTATGACTCATTCGTGCCCTACTATATGCAGGTGTGTATGACTCATTAGTCCCCTACTGTATGCAGGTGTGTATTACTCATTAGTCCCCTGCTTGTGTAGGTGTGTATGACTCATTAGTCCCCTACAATATGTAGGTGTGTATGGCTCATTAGTCCTCTACTGTATGCAGGTAGATATGACTCATTGGTACCCTACCATATGCAGGTATATATGACTCATTACTACCCTACTATATGCAGGTGTGTATGACTCATTGGTACCCTACCATATGCAGGTGTGTATGACTCATTGGTACCCTACTATTTGCAGGTATATATGACTCATTACTACCCTAATATATGCAGGTGTATGACTCATATGCCCAATACTATAGGCTGGTGTGTATGACTCATTGGTACCCTACTACATGCTGGTGTGTATGACTCATTCGTGCCCTACTATATGTAGGTGTGTATGACTCATTACTACCCTTCTTTATGCAGGTGTATATGACTCATTGGTACCCTACTATATGCAGGTATAAATGACTTATTACTACCCTACTATATGCAGGTGTGTATGACTCATTAGTCCCCTACTATATGCAGGTGTATATGACTCATTCGTCCCCTACTCTGTGTATGTAGTGTTCATGTGCAGCACTTGAACGCCAATGAGTGAGTGAGTTTGGTTTATCGCCGCTTTTAACAATATTTAGTTGCATCACGGAACCAGCTTGATGTGGGAGGGAAGCCCGAAGCGATACAGGGTTTTGGCTTTTACCACTTTGATGATGAAAACAACGAACACATTCATATACATACGGTGCTATCAAACTTAAAAACATAATGACGTCGAATTTGGGCTTAGAACCCACGATCACAGGTTTTCTGTCGCGTCGAACTCCCCACACCGAGCAACGTCGCCTTTGACGACCGGGCCAACCGTGCTCCCAGGCACCTCGGAAACAATAATCAGACTGACGCGTTTTTAATATCCAATATACAATGATCAGTCCAATATACTGTGGGGATCAATCATTATAATTATAAACCGTGCAACTACATGCCCTAGCTTGAATATTGTTCCAGAAAAATGAATAGGAAGTTCTATTTGATTGCTATTTCAGCAATTTACATCGGGGCGCACACTGATTATGAAGATTTTCTCTTTTTGACCTGAGTGATCAAAACAGTAAGTACATGTGCTTGACAGTGTATTTTAGTTACTTATATTGTCCGAGGATCAGTGAAATACGCACTTCAGCGTTTCTTCTGGATCTAATGTAGGAGGTTTTTCATATACTGCATATGGTGGACACTCAGTATTGTTTACATACAAGTTGGTGCACGACGCCGAGGACATGGGATATTGGACACGATAAACTGTGAAGGCTGATATGTTCTTTAGAGGTAGCAGTTAAAGGTCTTCCTGGTTTTGGATAATCTCCAAAGCTCTCTCTTCCCCTCTTGAACTCTGCTGCCCACCTCTCAACAGCGCAGCAGCAGCATGTATCTTAATGTAAATTACTATTTAAAATTAAATTAAAATCGTATCCTTTTTCGAAATATACATGTTTTGCCTTAATGTACTGTTTATGGACATGTAAGAATGAAATGGAGCGCATCTTCCGTGTGATAGCCACAACAACATCTCAGGCTATCGGATATAAATTTGGCAAATTTGTCGGCGATGACGTCGCTGTAGCCAAGCCTGAGACGGGGTGTATAACAGAATCTTGATCCATAATTTGCTTCAAATTATATACAAATCTAGATTGTTAACCATTTTTAAAAAAAAAAGATATTTAACTTAATTTAAAATGCCTTCTTTCTTCTAATGACGTAAGAAATTTGTTTCTTTATAAAGTTTACCGTGACTTGTGCCACGAACGGCCCCACAAAGAGTTGTGAGCGCATCTAGATTCAGCTTTTCAAGTAGTAACGCCTGTTCCTTTGTGCATTTGTCCCATATGTGGCAACCATAATCAGATATCGGTAATGTGAAAGATTTATACATAGTTTCCAGTGTGATTTTTTATTTAAACGATACTTATAGATCCAGAGACAGTGAATCACTGGACTGACTTTCTTAACTAGGCTATCAATGTGATCGTTCCACATACAATCTTCTTGTGGACTAGTCCGAGATGTTTATGAGAATGAACTTCCTGAACTATAGTGCTACTCATTTTCCATTAGGAAGAATCTTCCGTGAACATTGAATAGATACTGTTTTACTAGGGTTGAAATCGACCTGCCAGTTTTCTGCCCAACAGGGTATTCTACTTAGATCGTCATTCAGACAATGTGCTGCTGTATGTGGATCATTTACCACGACACTTAGGGATGTGCCATCGGCAAACAATCTAATATTACTTTCAATATCGTCTACAATGGCGTTACCTGGTTGTGTATTTGTTTCAAATGCAGTTTGTTAGCAATAAAAGTAGTGTTTTTATACATTCAA